TTACCATTATTATTATTATTATTATGAATATTATTATTAGTAGTATTACTATCACCTATCTTATTATTATTGTTACTGCAGTAGGCGCCAAGTGGTTGAGGCCGGGTCTTTACCATACCGCATGCCTGCCTCCTCTACCACGGAGCAAAGGACGTGGGGAACTCTGCGATGCTGCCTTTGACTTGGATGAAATGTCCCGGGCTCCGCTTCCACCAATGAAGCAGGCGCACTCACTGTGCACGCGCGCGAGGCTGGTGTTTCACCCGCCATTCGCGCCTCGCCCACCTGACTCGAGTGCGACTTCATAAGCCGTGGCCAATGCTACGCGAGCTGCCAGAGACAGTGTTAACAAATAAAGGTGAACATGGTTGTTTTTATGGCCAAAGTATATTAAACCATGTCTCGTTACTTGGATGGTGTTCAAGTCACCATGAAAAATAAAGATTTACTTATTTTCTAAGTCAAATGCCGTAAATATGTATATCCCTAAATGCATAGTTTTCGCTTAAACTGTGTATTGCCGATTTCCTAGGTATCCTTTCCATTATTTATGTTTTTCAGTTATTCGATCTCTTCGGCGACGCTTCCAAAGTGTCAATTTAACCCCTAAAGAGGGTAACGATCGTTTTATATTTTTTTTTCCTCTCTCTTTTCATGGTTGTTTTAGTCCTTTGGCTTGTTTGGACTACCGAACTATCTGGTTGGTCTTCCGTATTTTCTTTTCGCGCAATGCTTAAGGTATGGCCTCTGGGCCTCTTTCGGGTATAAGTATCCATGGCTTTGTGAGAAGATAGTTCGGTCTTGACCGAACTATCTTCGGTATACAGTACAGTCTATGGTATACAGTAGTCCCACTCTCGGTGTTATTTGTGCTCGCTTTGTGGATTTACCTCGCTTCGCGCCAGATTTGATGTTTTCGCAACGTCAAGTATTATTTTTATGGTTGTGTGTAGGACACACTTGGTCTCCTTTGGACTTAGGAGTGTGACATGCATTACCATCTGCAGGGTGCACTCTCTTTCACAAGGTCCCAAAGCAGCACTTTGTGAAATCAACGTGTCAGAGCATAAAAGGACCACTTCACACAGAAGGGACACTGCTTGAGAACCCGTACCTCCAGTGTACCATCTAAAGTTTTAAACGGCGTTTTTTTTTTCTCTCTCTCTCAGCTAGAAGATCCGTACTTCCTGGGAGAGAGACAATCTCGCCCATATCTTCAAGACCAGTTTACTTTGTCTACCTTTCTACCAGTTTACTTTATCTTGGTTGATTCCTGCCTGACCGTGTGGGTGCTCAGGCAGTCTTCGTGATCTATGCCTTTTTTGGTGTTATTTATTTTTTTTTTTTTACTTGGTCTCTGACTTTACATTATTTCTTAAGTTGTATATTTTTTGCGCAAGTGTTTTATCCAGTTTATGAGCACTAGTTTTTTCTTAGTTGATATCCATTCTGGGTTGGAGATAATTGGGGTTTGGTGTGTTTTCGTGCTAATACTCTGGTTAAAAGTACTTATGGATTTGGGACGCCACCTTAGGGGTAAAATATGTGTTTGTGATTTTTAAGTACATTCGGTGTTACTTTTCACGTGCATCACCCCGCTGGGATAAATTGGTGAAGCACACAACTTTAATTTCTCGTGACTGTATTCTATGTAGACCTCCCTAGTGGGTGCCACTTGCTCAATAAAATACCATACCGTCATTTGTTCCCAGTCAGAGAACAAATGACATTTGCGACCTCTTAACTTATAACATCACACTGCTGGTTACTCTGTTATCTCGCAATCCCGAAAGGCTTAAAAGGCTAGATTAATTGGAGTAAATTAAGCTTATATTCTAGAATAGATCATAACTTCTACTATACCACCCGCTTCCAGCAGATGGATGCTCAGACCGATGGGAAGAGGAAGAATTCTATGATCTTGCACGTTTCTTCTATACACATGTCATTATCATGTATAGTATCATTTTTCTTACCATCACCATTTGTTTAAACATTATTTTTATTATTTTTATAATTGATATTACATTTATTGTCATTAATATTTTTATTATCCTTATTATGTTTATTATCATTATTATATTGATTATCATTATTATATTGATTATCACTATTATCTATATTAACATTATTTAATTTATCATCATTATTTTCATTAGCATCGTTATGCTTATTATCATTATTATAATTTATTATCATTCTTATCATTTTGTAACATCTTTATCATTATGATAATTATTTTTGCTGTAGTTCTTATTATCAATATTATTATCATCGATATTAGTTATTATCGACAATAATAATAATAATAAGATGAAGAATATTGTTATTATTATTATCATTATTATTCTTGCTATTATTATTATTGTTATTATTATTATCATTATGATCATTATCACTATTTTACCATTTTTATTGTCATTATCATTATTATCATTCTCAGTATTACTATTATCGTTATTATCATTTTCATTTTTGAAAGATCATTAATATTATCATTTTCATTATTGTTATCATTATCGTTATTGTTTTTATGGTCATTGCTATTAACATTATCATTATTATCATTATAGTTATTATCATTTGGACTATCATAATCATTATCATTATCATTAATATTATTTTTATTATATATATATTTTTTTTATCAGTAACATTATCATAATTATTATCATAATATTCATCAACATCATTATCATTATCCTTTTCCTTATCGCTTGCATCATTATCTTTATCATTATCATTATTATTACCATTATTATTTTCATTATCATAATTATTATCATCATTATTATTATCATCATCATTTTTATTATCATCATTATTATCATCATTATTATCATTATCATTTACATGGTTATTATAATTATCATTATTTTTATCATTATTATTATTAACGGTATCACTTCCATTATCATTAACATCATTATTAAAATTTATCATTATTATTGTTAGTACCATTATTATCAATAGTATCATTTTTATCATCATCATCATTTATATCCCCATTATCATTACTGTTATCATTATCATTACTATAATTTTCATTATTACCATTACCATTAGTATTATCCTTGTCATTATTAAAACTATTATCATTATTATTATCATTAATATTATTACCATTATCTCTATCATCATTATCGTTATTAGTACCATTATTGTCATTATCATTATCACTACTATTATCGTTATTATCATCACTGTCATTAGTAATATAATAATTATTATTATCGCTATTTCCATTATCATTGTCATCAGCGTTCTTATTTTCATTATTATCATCATCGTTATTATTATCATCATAATCATTATTGTTACCCTTATAATTTTGATCATAGTTATGATAATTATAATAATAATATTATTATTATTACCATTATTATTATTATCATTATTATAATCATTATTATTATTGATATTATCATTACTACTATTATTATTATCATTACTATTATTATTATTACTATTATTATCATTATCAGTACTACCATTACCATTATGATAATTATCATTATCATTATGATATTATTATATTCTATTATTATACTATTATTATAATTTGAGTTATTATTATTATCATAACTATTATTATTATCATTATTATTATTAAGTATAGTGATAAAAATAGTAGTGATGATAACAATGTCATTGAAAACTGAAATGAAAATGATAATAACGAGAAGATGAGGATTATTATAACTGTAATAAGAATGATAATAGTAATATTAATATTGATCATGACAATTATGGCTATGATGGTGACCATAATTATGATACCGATGATAATAGTCGAATTTACCATTCTTATTATCGGAAATAGTATTGTTCCTAACATTATTATCATTGTCATTATTATCATCATTATTATTATTGATATTATTATTATTATTATTGTTACTGATATTATTAAAATTACCATTATTGATAATATCTTATCAACACAATTATTATTATTATTATTTTTACGATTGTAATTATAATTATCAATAGTAATGATAATATAATATTTATTATTATCATCATTATCTTATGGTGATTTTCTTTGTTACCACTATCGTCCTTTTTCATATTATTGCTTCTGATAGTTATTATTATCAACATATAATTATCATTATAATTATCATTATAATTATTAATTATAATTATCAATTATTATCATTATAATTATTATCATTACAATTATTATCATTATTATTATTATTATTATCATTATTATAATCCTCATCCTCATCATCGTTATAGATATTATTAACGTAATAAGAAATATTATTATTCATATTTTTCTATTGTTATTATCATCATTGTTTTTTATCATTATCATCAATATCAATATTTTTTTCTCCTTATCATTATTACTTTTATCAATATTAATGTCGTAACAATAATTAGTATTATTATCATTACTAATATCAATATTATTATCATCATTAATACTATTACCATTATTATTATTATTATTATGAATATTGTTAGTAGTAGTATTACTATCACCTATCTTATTATTATTGTTACTGCAGTAGGCGCCAAGTGGTTGAGGCCGGGTCTTTACCATACCGCATGCCTGCCTCCTCTACCACGGAGCAAAGGACGTGGGGAACTCTGCGATGCTGCCTTTGACTTGGATGAAATGTCCCGGGCTCCGCTTCCACCAATGAAGCAGGCGCACTCACTGTGCACGCGCGCGAGGCTGGTGTTTCACCCGCCATTCGCGCCTCGCCCACCTGACTCGAGTGCGACTTCATAAGCCGTGGCCAATGCTACGCGAGCTGCCAGAGACAGTGTTAACAGATAAAGGTGAACATGGTTGTTTTTATGGCCAAAGTATATTAAACCATGTCTCGTTACTTGGATGGTGTTCAAGTCACCATGAAAAATAAAGATTTACTTATTTTCTAAGTCAAATGCCGTAAATATGTATATCCCTAAATGCATAGTTTTCGCTTAAACTGTGTATTGCCGATTTCCTAGGTATCCTTTCCATGATTTATGTTTTTCAGTTATTCGATCTCTTCGGCGACGCTTCCAAAGTGTCAATGTAACCCCTAAAGAGGGTAACGATCGTTATATATTTTTTTCCTCCTCTCTCTTTTCATGGTTGTTTTAGTCCTTTGGCTTGTTTGGACTACCGAACTATCGGGTTGGTCTTCCGTATTTTCTTTTCGCGCAATGCTTAAGGTATGGCCTTGGGGCCTCTTTCGGGTATAAGTATCCATGGCTTTGTGAGAAGATAGTTCGGTCTTGACCGAACTATCTTCGGTATACAGTACAGTCTATGGTATACAGTAGTCCCACTCTCGGTGTTATTTGTGCTCGCTTTGTGGATTTACCTCGCTTCGCGCCAGATTTGATGTTTTCGCAACGTCAAGTATTATTTTTATGGTTGTGTGTAGGACACACTTGGTCTCCTTTGGACTTAGGAGTGTGACATGCATTACCATCTGCAGGGTGCACTCTCTTTCACAAGGTCCCAAAGCAGCACTTTGTGAAATCAACGTGTCAGAGCATAAAAGGACCACTTCACACAGAAGGGACACTGCTTGAGAACCCGTACCTCCAGTGTACCATCTATAGTTTTAAACGGCGTTTTTTTTTCTCTCAGCTAGAAGATCCGTACTTCCTGGGAGAGAGACAATCTCGCCCATATCTTCAAGACCAGTTTACTTTGTCTACCTTTCTACCAGTTTACTTTATCTTGGTTGATTCCTGCCTGACCGTGTGGGTGCTCAGGCAGTCTTCGTGATCTATGCCTTTTTTGGTGTTATTATTATTTTTTTTTTACTTGGTCTCTGACTTTACATTATTTCTTAAGTTGTATATTTTTTGCGCAAGTGTTTTATCCAGTTTATGAGCACTAGTTTTTTCTTAGTTAATCTCCATTCTGGGTTGGAGATAATTGGGGTTTGGTGTGTTTTCGTGCTAATACTCTGGTTAAAAGTACTTATGGATTTGGGACGCCACCTTAGGGGTAAAATATGTGTTTGTGATTTTTAAGTACATTCGGTGTTACTTTTCACGTGCATCACCCCGCTGGGATAAATTGGTGAAGCACACAACTTTAATTTCTCGTGACTGTATTCTATGTAGACCTCCCTAGTGGGTGCCACTTGCTCAATAAAATACCATACCGTCATTTGTTCCCAGTCAGAGAACAAATGACATTTGCGACCTCTTAACTTATAACATCACACTACTGGTTACTCTGTTATCTCGCAATCCCGAAAGGCTTAAAAGGCTAGATTAATTGGAGTAAATTAAGCTTATATTCTAGAATAGATCATAACTTCTACTATACCACCCGCTTCCAGCAGATGGATGCTCAGACCGATGGGAAGAGGAAGAATTCTATGATCTTGCACGTTTCTTCTATACACATGTCATTATCATGTATAGTATCATTTTTCTTACCATCACCATTTGTTTAAACATTATTTTTATAATTGATATTACATTTATTGTCATTAATATTTTTATTATCCTTATTATGTTTATTATCATTATTATATTGATTATCACTATTATCTATATTATCATTATTTTATTTATCATCATTATTTTAATTAGCATCATTATGCTTATTATCATTATTATAATTTATTATCATTCTTATTATTTTGTATTATCATTATCATTATGATAATAATTTTTTTTTTCTGTAGTTCTTATTATCAATATTATTATCATCGATATTAGTTATTATCGACAATAATAATAATAAGATGAAGAATATTGTTATTATTATCATTATTATTCTGGCTATTGTTATTATTATTATCATTATTATCATTATCACTATTTTTACCATTTTTATTGTCATTATCATTATTATCATTCTCAGTATTACTATTATCGTTATCATTTTCATTATTGTTATCATTATCGTTATTGTTTTTATGGTCATTACTATTAACATTATCATTATTGTTATCATTATAGTTATTATCATTTGGACTATCATGATCATTATCATTATCATTAATATTATTTTCATTATATATATATTTTTTTTATTATCAGTAACATTATCATAATCATTATCATAATATTCATCAACATCATTATCATTATCCTTTTCCTTATCGCTTGCATCATTATCTTTATCATTATTATTACCATTATTATTTTCATTATCATAATTATTATCATCATTATTATTATCATCATCTTTATTATTATCATCATTATTATAATCATTATTATCATTATCATTTAAATGGTTATTGTAATTATCATTATTTTTATCATTATTATTATTAACGGTATCACTTCCATTATCATTAACATCATTATTAAAATTTATCATTATTATTGTTAGTACCATTATTATCAATAGTATCATTTTTATCATCATCATCATTTATATCCCCATTATCATTACTGTTATCATTATCATTACTATCATTTTCATTATTACCATTACCATTAGTATTATCCTTGTCATTATTAAAACTATTATCATTATTATTATCATTAATATTATTACCATTATCTCTATCATCATTATCGTTATTAGTACCATTATTGTCATTATCATTATCACTACTATTATCGTTATTATCATCACTGTCATTAGTAATATAATAATTATTATTATCACTATTTCCATTATCATTGTCATCATCGTTCTTATTTTCATTATTATCATCATCGTTATTATTATCATCATAATCATTATTGTTACCCTTATAATTTTGATCATAGTTATGATAATTATAATAATAATATTATTATTATTATTACCATTATTATTATTATCATTATTATTATAATCATTATTATTATTGATATTATCATTACTACTATTATTATTATTACTATTATTATCATTATCAGTACTACCATTACCATTATGATAATTATCATTATCATTATGATATTATTATATTCTATTATTATACTATTATTATAATTTGAGTTATTATTATTATCATAACTATTATTATTATCATTATTATTATTAAGTATAGTGATAAAAATAGTAGTGATGATAACAATGTCATTGAAAACTGAAATGAAAATGATAATAACGAGAAGATGAGGATTATTATAACTGTAATAAGAATGATACTAGTAATATTAATATTGATCATGACAATTATGGCTATGATGGTGACCATAATTATGATACCGATGATAATAGTCGAATTTACCATTCTTATTATCGGAAATAGTATTGTTCCTAACATTATTATCATTGTCATTATTATCATCATTATTATTATTGATATTATTATTATTATTATTGTTACTGATATTATTAAAATTACCATTATTGATAATATCTTATCAACACAATTATTATTATTATTATTTTTACTATTGTAATTATAATTATCAATAGTAATGATAATATAATATTTATTATTATCATCATTATTTTATGGTGATTTTCTTTGTTACCACTATCGTCCTTTTTCATATTATTGCTTCTGATAGTTATTATTATCAACATATAATTATCATTATAATTATCATTATAATTATTATTATAATTATAATTATTATCATTATAATTATTATCATTACAATTATTATCATTATAATTATCATTGTCATCATTATAATTATTATCATTGTTATCATTATCAGTTATAGTTACAATACATGTTAACACTTCAATTACCAACAAAAATGCAATAATTATGATGGAACTTTATTGTACACGCTACAGAAAAGATATCAGGACCATTAAGTAAGCAGAATTATTTAATGAGAGAACATATATCTATTTTCTACTTAGATCTAAAAAAAAATAGTTTTTTTACCTAAGGAACTCCCAAATTTATATATATATATATGTGTGTGTGTGTGTGTATTCCGTAAGTAAATAGTTAAATAAATATTAAACTAGTCATATGTGAATGAAAAAAAGGGTTAATAAGGGATTTTCGTGTATTTCATAAACAAGCGTTAGCTTTCAACCTCCAAAATTTAATGACGCGAACATTTAGCAAGCAATCCTTTAAAAGACTCATATTAACCCCTTGCATCATCCAAGCAAACCATAAGGTCTCATATGGACTACTATGGAGACCCTGGGGAAGCCCTTCCCAATCTCCAAGACTAGGGGGGAGGAACACCAGTTCCCTCACCTTGCCTTCGCCTCTCGTTTAGTCAGAGTTCCTTTGAGCGAAGAGTCTTTGTGCTGACGCCCGAGGAAAGGCACGTCCGGCCACTCTGCTGCGGAGAGCTTACTTGTGCGTATAGTGTGTGAAGCCATGAGGTGAGATCATAGGAGAATTAGGTATTAACTGTCTCCTGCACAGTAAACTTTACAACTTTCGCCCTTTCGACAGTTTTAATGAAAAAGAAAGGTTGAAAAAAAATCAAGGAACATTTAATTTACTTGTAAAACAGGTGGAAATGTAATGTAAACTGCGATAAATAGGCATGTAATAATTGTTTTAAGTAACGAATCACCAGCAACCATAATCAAGGAGAGTCTAGACCAAATAGTAGCCTCTTAGCATAACATTTTCTTCGCTAATCTACCTGAAACTTTCAATGATTTTTTATTCCACACCGTGTCCAATTCAAGAAAAATAAAAGTCACAGAAACAATGAAGCTGATGAAAAAAAATAGACAATAGGTTTCTTGACAATTTTCTGGTTATTTTTCATCTGTATATCAATTTTCTGTATGGATATATAAGTAATAGTACAAAAAAATCGAAATGAGCCTAAAGTGCGGGAGTAGTCAGTTAACCTTGGTCAGTAATATATGTGTACATATCCATATAAAGAACTGAATTTGCGTATATATGTATATATGTGTGTGTATATGCATTCATATATATGAGTGCATGTTTGTGTGATTATATCATTGCAATCGACTGTGGAATGATCCCTATGAGTAAGACCAAAAGGAATGAGGCATATACCAAAAATAAACAATAATATTTCAGTGAATGCGCATACATTTGTGAGGGGAACTATACGGAGCCCTGCTAAGTGACCCTTCCACCTTGTGAATAACTCATGGAATACGAGGAAATATCAGCAATAGAAAAATGATAGATAGCAAAAGCTAACTGTATATAAATCAGACGAATAT